GATGAGATGCCTGAAAGCCCTGGACGAGTTTGCAGGTGCGTGATAGTAAAGTTCCTTACAGTAGCTCAAGAGTGGTACTGTAAAGTGCCGTTTAGGTATAATGAGTGTGCAAGACCTGAGGATAACGACTGTGATGAAAATGCTGACTGTATTGACACTGATGATATACGTCTGTCAGTGTAAGACGGGATTCTTCGATGAAAACACGGATCCAGCTAAAACTGGACGAGTCTGCATTGGTGAATACAAATTAGCAAAAGAGTGTGACTAGGCAGTAGTAGTAGTAAGTAGAAAAAGAAGTAGAAGTAGTAGTGGTAGTAGAAAAATTGAATTCAATCCTGGATTTATGCCAAAATCACGGAATTTCTTCCGTATTTTCCCTGGCACCAGCACATCGCTTACTACTCAGCTTGGTGAACTCTTTTAAATTCCCTTTAATCGATTCTAAATTTCTAAGAGTTAGGCCTTGTCATCGATCGACCACAAGAAAATGAGAAGACCACGCTGTCGCCAAATCTTGTCCCATGCGGCAACACCTACTGCAGAGTTGATCTTCGTGAGGTAAGTTACGCCCATACTAATCCACCAATTAAAGGGTAGCTAAGCTCCTCCTTTTTTAGGTGTGCATAGGGGGTGCTAAGTGCGGTTGACGACCTGGAGAATCGCGGGCGAACCCTCAAGAGAAGTGCATACCTGTTACAGAGGTAGCTTCGCCGAATAAGTTTTTAGGAAGTGTGGGAGTTTGAAATTTCAATATAGGTCCCAATTGTTGTTCGAGTTATTGATTTTGATGGTGAACCGCTACAGTACTCCATCGACTACAGTAAACCAAATAGTCCTGAACATGTCCAGATCGTTGATACTGTTGTCAAGGTAGGCGTATATGACTTCAAAAGAGCTGGAATTTGTACTATTTCCATATAGCCATTCAGAATTCTTCAATTTATTAGGGTCTTGGTGATGTATTCAAGCAGACCGACGTAGCACCACGCTACATCACTACCGATATAAATTACATCACAAATCCTAAGGTTGAAAACAGGTAAGCAAGTAGTTTTGCTGTGATTGGTTGATCAGTCTTCCAGGGCATCTATGATTGGTGGACATGCAGATTTTCCTGTTGGGTAGCTATGCCTAAGTAGAGTGACCCATAATAGTGGCTGGGTATGGAAAAACACTAGGACAACAATTAGCGAGTTCCACCACAAATCGCTCCGAAATTTGATTTTCTTGAGATTT